AGTCAGGGGGGGTTTTGGGTGGTCCTGGGCTGGTTTTGGGGTGTTTTGGGGCTGTTTTGGCTGTTTTTTGGGGTGTTTGGCTGTTTTGGAGTTGGTTTTGGGTTGTTTTGGCTGTTTTTGGGGTATTTTGGGGTATTTTGGCTGGTTTTAGGGTGTTTTTGGGCTGTTTTTGGGGTATTTTGGGGTGCATTGTCTGGTTTTGGGATGGTTTTGGGGTATTTTGGGGTATTTTGGGTTGTTTTGGGGCTGTTTTTAGAGTATTTTGTCTGTTTTGGGGTGCTTTGTCTGTTTTTAGGGTATTTTGGGCTGTTTTGTCTGTTTTTGGGCTGTTCTTGGGGTGTTTTGTCTGTTTTTGGGGTATTTTGGAGTGCTTTGTCTGTTTCTGGCTGGTTTTGGGGTGTTTTGTCAGTTTTTGGGCTGGTTTTGGGGTGTTTTGGGCTGGTTTTGGGGTGTTTTTGGGGTGTTTTGGGCTGTTTAGGGGGTGCTTTGTTTTTGGGCTGGTTTTGGGGTGTTTTGGCTGTTTTGGGGCATTTTGGGCTGTTTTGGGGCTGGTTTTGGGGTGTTTTGTCTGGTTTTGGGCTGGTTTTGGGGTGTTTTGGGGCTGTTTTTGGGGTGTTTTGACTGTTTTTGGGGCTGTTTTTGGGGTATTTTGGGGTGTTTTGGGGTGTTTTTGGGTGTTTGGGCTGTTTTTGGGGTGTTTTGGGCTGTTTTTGGGTGTTTTGGGCTGTTTTTGGGTGTTTGGGCTGTTTTTGGGCTGTTTTTGGGCTGTTTTTGGGGTGTTTTGGGTGTTTTTGGGGTGTTTTGGGGTGTTTTGGGTGTTTGGGTGTTTCCTCACCCCTCTCCCCAGGTGCCGGGCGGGTGCCCCTGGAGCCCAGCGCGGTGCCGGCCCCTCCCCCGCCCGTGTGAGTGGGGGATGGGAGTCCCCAACACCTCCCGGGAATGGGGGGAGGGGAGGTGACCCCAGGTGTGCCCAGGTGTGCCCAGGTGTGCCCAGGTGTGTCCCCAGCTGTGCCCTCAGGTGTGCCCAGGTGTGCCCAGGTGTGTCCCCAGGTGTGTCCCCAGGTGACCCCAGGTGTGCCCAGGTGTGCCCAGGTGTGTCCCCAGCTGTGCCCTCAGGTGTGCCCAGGTGTGCCCTCAGGTGTGTCCCCAGGTGTGCCCAGGTGTGCCCAGGTGTGTCCCCAGGTGTGTCCCCAGCTGACCCCAGGTGTGCCTAGGTGTGACCCCGTGTGACCCCAGGTGTGACCCCAGGTGACCCCAGGTGTGACCCCAGGTGTGCCCAGGTGTGTGCCCAGGTGACCCCAGGTGTCCCCAGGTGTTACCCCACCTGTGCCAGGCGTGCCAGGTGACCCAGGTGTGCCCGCACAGGCGCACCTTCTCGCTGGAGGACTTCAAGGTGGGGGTGGGAACATTCCCCAGGTATCACCCCACCTGTGCCAGGTGCCCCCAGGTGTTACCCCAGGTGTCACCCCACCTGTGCCAGGTGTGCCAGGTGCCCCCAGGTGTTACCCCAGGTGTCACCCCACCTGTGCCAGGTGTGCCCACCTGTGCCAGGTACCCCCCCAGGTGTTACCTCACCTGTGCCAGGTGCCCCCAGGTGTTACCCCACCTGTGCCAGGTGTGCCCACCTGTGCCAGGTGTGCCAGGTGTGCCCACCTGTGCCAGGTGCCCTCAGGTGACCCAGGTGTGCCCCCACCTGTGCCAGGTGTGCCCGGTGCCCCCAGGTGTTACCCCGGGTGTCACCCCACCTGTGCCAGGTGTGCCCAGGTGAGCCAGGTGTGCCCCCACCTGTGCCAGGTGTGCCCACCTGTGCCAGGTGTGCCAGGTGTGCCCACCTGTGCCAGGTGCCCCCAGGTGTTACCCCAGGTGTCACCCCACCTGTGCCAGGTGCCCCCAGGCTTTACCCACCTGTGCCAGGTGTGCCCAGGTGCCCCCAGGTGTTACCCCAGGTGTTACCCCACCTGTGCCAGGCGTGCCAGGTGACCCAGGTGTGCCCCCCCGCAGGCGCACCTTCTCGCTGGAGGACTTCGAGGTGGGGGTGGGAACATTCCCCAGGTGTCACCCCACCTGTGCCAGGTGTGCCCACCTGTGCCAGGTGCCCCCAGGTGTTACCCCAGGTGTCACCCCACCTGTGCCAGGTGTGCCCACCTGTGCCAGGTGCCCTCAGGTGACCCAGGTGTGCCCCCCCGCAGGCGCACCTTCTCGCTGGAGGACTTCGAGGTGGGGGTGGGAACATTCCCCAGGTGTCACTCCACCTGTGCCAGGTGTGCCAGGTGTGCCCACCTGTGCCAGGCGTGCCAGGTGACCCAGGTGTGCCCCCCCGCAGGCGCACCTTCTCGCTGGAGGACTTCGAGGTGGGCCGGCCGCTGGGCAAGGGCAAGTTCGGGAACGTGTACCTGGCGCGGGAGCGGCGCTCCGGCTTCCTGGTGGCCCTCAAGGTGCTCTTCAAGTCCCAGGTGGAGCAGGAGGGCGTGGAGCACCAGCTGAGGCGCGAGATCGAGATCCAGGCCCACCTCAGGTACCTGGGCACAGCTGGGACACACCTGGACACACCTGGGTACAGCTGGGTACACACCTGGGACACACCTGGGTACAGCTGGGCACAGCTGGGCACACACCTGGGGGTGGAGCACCAGCTGAGGCGCGAGATCGAGATCCAGGCCCACCTCAGGTACCCGGGCACACCTGGGCACACACCTGGGGGGAGGGAAACACACCTGGGCACACCTGGACACACCCGGGACACACCTGGGTACAGCTGGGTACACACCTGGGTACAGCTGGGACACACCTGGGTACAGCTGGGACACACCTGGGGGTGGAGCACCAGCTGAGGCGCGCGATCGAGATCCAGGCCCACCTCAGGTACCCGGGCACACCTGGGCACACACCTGAGGGGAGGGAAACACACCTGGGCACACCTGGACACACCTGGACACACCTGGGTACAGCTGGGTACACACCTGGGGGGAGGGACACACACCTGGGCACACACCTGTGGGGTGGAGCACCAGCTGAGGCGCGAGATCGAGATCCAGGCCCACCTCAGGTACCTGGGACACACCTGGGTACAGCTGGGCACACCTGGGCACACCTGGGACACACCTGGGTACAGCTGGGCACAGCTGGGCACACCTGGGACACACCTGGGTACAGCTGGGCACAGCTGGGCACACCTGGGACACACCTGGGACACACCTGGGACACACCTGGGTACAGCTGGGACACACCTGGACACACCTGGGACACACCTGGGACACACCTGGGTACAGCTGGGACACACCTGGGTACAGCTGGGACACACCTGGACACACCTGGACACACCTGGGACACACCTGGGACACACCTGGGTACAGCTGGGCACACACCTGGGGGGAGGGAAACACACCTGGGCACAGCTGGGACACACCTGGGCACAGCTGGGACACACCTGGGTACAGCTGGGACACACCTGGGACACACCTGGGACACACCTGGGACACACCTGGGACACACCTGGGACACACCTGGGACACACCTGGGTACAGCTGGGCACAGCTGGGCACACCTGGGACACACCTGGGTACAGCTGGGACACACCTTGGACACACCTGGGTACAGCTGGGCACACCTGGGACACACCTGGGACACACCTGGGTACAGCTGGGCACAGCTGGGCACACCTGGGACACACCTGGGTACAGCTGGGACACACCTGGGGGTGGAGCACCAGCTGAGGCGCGAGATCGAGATCCAGGCCCACCTCAGGTACCTGGGCACACCTGGGCACACACCTGGGGGGAGGGAGACACACCTGGGCACAGCTGGGCACACCTGGGACACACCTGGGTACAGCTGGGTACACCTGGGACACACCTGGGTACTTCTGGGGGGAGGGACACACACCTGGGCACACCTGGACACAACTGGGCACACCTGGGGGAAGGGACACACACCTGGGCAGGGGGAGCACACCTGGGCACACCTGGGACACACCTGGGACACACCTGGGCACACCGGGGGGAGGGACACACACCTGGGCACACCTGGGCACACCTGGGGGGAGGGACACACACCTGGGCACACCTGGGCACACCTGGGGGGAGGGACACACACCTGGGCACACCTGGGCACACACCTGGACACACCTGGGCACACCTGGGCAGGGGGAGCACACCTGGGCACACCTGTATTGGACTGCACCATTGTGTCCCAGCCCGGGGGGCAGATTTTGGGGTCTGGGGGTTTTGACCCCAGATTTTTTTGGGGTGGGGTCTCATTTTTGGGGTGGGGGTCTCATTTTTGGGGTGAGGGTCTCATTTTTGGGTCAGGGGTCTCATTTTGGGTCAGGGGTCTCATTTTTGGGGTGGGGGTCTCATTTTTGGGGTGAGGGTCTCATTTTGGGTCAGGGGTCTCATTTTGGGTCAGGGGTCTCATTTTTGGGGTGGGGGTCTCATTTTGGGTCGGGGGGTCTCATTTTTGGGTCAGGGGTCTCATTTTGGGTCGTGGGGGTCTCATTTTGGGTCAGGGGTCTCATTTTGGGTCAGGGGTCTCATTTTGGGGTCGGGGGTCTCATTTTGGGTCAGGGGTCTCATTTTTGGGGTCAGGGGTCTCATTTTGGGTCAGGGGTCTCATTTTTGGGGCGCCCCCATCCCCCCAAAAATCTCGGACTGCACCATTGTGCCCCGGGGGGGTTCAGGACAGATTTTGGGGTCTGGGGGTTTCGACCCCAGGTTTTTTTGGGGTGGGGTCTGATTTTTGAGGTGGGGGTGGTCTCATTTTTGGGTCGGGGGTCTCATTTTGGGTCAGGGGTCTCATTTTGGGTCAGGGGTCACATTTTGGGTGAGGGGGGGGGGTCTCATTTTTGGGTACCCCCGCAACAAATCCCGTGTGTGCGGAGGGGGGGCAGATTTTGGGGGTTTTGACCCCAGGTTTTTTTGGGGTGGGGTCTGATTTTTGAGGTGGGGGTGGTCTCATTTTTGGGGTGGGGGTCTCATTTTGGGTCGGGGGTCTCATTTTTGGGGTTCCCCCCCCCCCAGGCACCCCAACGTGCTCCGGCTCTACAATTATTTCCACGACCGGCGCCGCGTCTTCCTCATCCTGGAGTTCGCGCCCCGCGGGGAACTCTACAAGGAGCTGCAGCGCTGCCGGCGCCTGGACGCCACCCGCACGGCCACGGTGTGCCCAAAACCCCCAAAATCACCCCAAAAACTGACTCGGGGACCCCAAAAGCCCCAAAACCACCCCAAAAACTGACTCGGGGACCCCAAAAACCCCAAAAATCACCCCAAAAACCTCCAAAACCACCCCAAAAACCCCCAAACCCACCCCAAAAACCCCAAAACCACCCCAAAAACTGACTCAGGGACCCCAAAACCCCCAAAAACCACCCCAAAACCCCCCAAACCACCCCAAAAACCCCAAAAAACACCCCAAAAACCCCAAAAAACACCCCAAAAACTGACCCGGGGACCCCAAAAACCCCCAAAACCGACCTGGGGACCCCAAAAACCGACCCAGGGACCCAAAAACCACCCCAGAAACCGGCCCAGGGACCCCAAAAACCCCCAAAACTGACCAAGGGACCCCAAAAATCCCAAAAAACGACCCAGGGCCCCAAAAACCGACCCAGGGAACCCAAAAACCCCAAACACCACCCCAAAAACTGACCTGGGCACCCCAAAAACCGACCCAAAAACCTCAAAGCCACCCCAAAAATCGCATCAGGGCCCCCAAACACCCCCAAGCACCACAGACACCCCAAAAACCCCCAAAACTGCCCAAAAATCAACTCAGGCACCCCAAAACCCCCAAAACCACCCCAAAAACCCACCCGGGGACCCCAAAAACTCCAAAAACCAACCTGGGGACCCCAAAAACCCCGAAACCACCCCAAAAATCAACCCAGGGACCCCAAAAACCCCAAAACCACCCCAAAACCCGGCTCAGGTGGTTTTTGGCTGTCCCGAGTCGGGTTTTGGGGTGCCCAGGGTGGATTTTGGGGTGCCCCGGGTGGATTTTGGGGTGCCTGTGTGGATTTTGGGTGCCCAGGGTGGATTTTGGGGTCCCCCTTGAAGATTTTGGGGTGCCCTGGGTGGATTTTGAGGTGCCCAGGGTGGATTTTGGGGTGCCCTGGATAATTTTGGGGTGGCCCAGGTAGATTTTTGGGGTCCCTGGAGGATTTTGGGGTGCCCTGGGTGGATTTTTGGGGTGCTCAGGGTGAATTTTGGGTGCCCCGGGTGGATTTTTGGGGTGCCCAGGGTGGATTTTGGGGTGCCCCGGATTATTTTTGGGGTGCCCAGGGTGGATTTTGGGGTGCCACGAGTAGATTTTTCGGGTACCCAGGAGGATTTTGGGGTCCCCCTTGAAGATTTTGGGGTGCCCAGGGTGGATTTTGGGGTGCCCAGGGTGGATTTTGGGGTCACTCTGGAGGATTTTGGGGACCCTGGATCAGTTTTTTTCCTCCTGTCCCCACGGAGGAGCCGCTTCCCCCTGAGCACCTGGGGGGGATTTGGGGGTACCTGGGCACACCTGGGGGGGCTCAGGGGGTTTTGGGGTGCCCCGAGTCCATTTTTGGGGTCCCCGGGAGGATTTTGGGGTGCCCCGGGTGGATTTTGGGGTGCCCCGGGTGGATTTTGGGGTCACTCTGGAGGATTTTGGGGTGCCTTGGACCCCCTTTTTTAGCACTTTTTCCCCATGGAGGAGCCGCTTCCCCCTGAGCACCTGGGGGGGATTTTGGGGTACCTGGGGGGGATTTGGGGGTACCTGGGCACACCTGGGGGGACTCGGGGGGTTTTGGGGCGCCCCGAGTCCATTTTTGGGGTCACTTTGGAGGATTTTGGGGTGCCCTGACCCCCCAAACTCCGCAGCTGATGGAGGAG